TGTATATATGTATATATATGTATATATGTATATATGTATATATATGTATATATGTATATATATGTATATGTATATATGTATATATATGTATATATGTATATGTATATATGTGTATATATATGTATATATGTATATGTATATATGTGTATATATATGTATGTATATATATATATATGTATATATGTATGTATATATATATATATGTATATATGTATGTATGTATATATATATGTATATATGTATGTATGTATATATATATGTATGTATGTATATATATGTATGTATGTATGTATGTATATATATATATGTATATATGTATGTATGTATGTATATATGTATGTATGTATGTATATATGTATGTATGTATGTATATATGTATGTATGTATGTATATATATGTATATGTATATATATATATGTATATGGCCCATGATCACGCTGGATGAACTGCAGAGATCTACAGCTGAGGTGGGAGAGTCTGTCCATAGGACAACAATCAGTCGTACACTGCACAAATCTGGCTTTTATGGAAGAGTGGCAAGAAGAAAGCCATTTCTCAAAGATATCCATAAAAAGTGTTGTTTAAAGTTTGCCACAAGCACCTGGGAGACACACCAAACGTGGAAGAAGGTGCTCTGGTCTGATGAAACCAAAAACGAACTGTTTAGCCACAATGCAAAACGATATGTTTGGCGTAAAAGCAACACAGCTCATCACCCTGAACACACCATCCCCACTGTCAAACACGGTGGTGGCAGAATCATGGTTTGGGCCTGCTTTTCATCAGCAGGGACTGGGAAGATGGTCAGAATTGATGGGAAGATGGATGGGGCCAAATACAGGACCATTCTGGAAGAAAACCTGTTTGAGTCTGCAAGAGACCGGAGACTGGGACGGAGATTTATCTTCCAACAAGACAATGATCCAAAACATAAAGCCAAATCTACAATGGAATGGTTCACAAATAAACGTATCCAGGTGTTGGAATGGCCAAGTCAAAGTCCAGACCTGAATCCAATCGAGAATCTGTGGAAAGAGCTGAAGACTGCCTTTTCACAAACGCTCTCCATCCAACCTCACTGAGCTCGAGCTGTTTTGCAGGAAGAATGGGCAAGAATTTCAGTTTCTCCGTGTGCAAAACTGATAGAGACACAAGAGACTTGAAGCTGGAACTGCAGCAAAAGGCGGCGCTACAAAGTATTAACGCAAGGGGGCCGAATAATATTGCACGCCCCACTTTTCAGTTTTTTATTTGTTAAAAAAGTTTGACACATCTAATAAATTTCATTCTGTTTCACAATTGTTTCCCACTTGTTGTTGATTCTTCACAAAAAATTTAATTTTATATCTTTATGTTTGAAGCCTGAAATGTGGCAAAAGGTTGAAAGTTCAAAGGGGCCGAATACTTTTGCAAGGCACTGTATATATATATATATATATATATATATATATATATATATATATATATATATATATATATATATATATATAGCACTATATTCCTGTGTGTTATATTCACATTATTTCTTTCCTGTTAGAAGGTGGGCTGATAACTACAGAATCGAAAGTGAAAATGAGAAGGAAAAAACATCTAGACCTACATGCAAATGTCCAGATTTTATTGTTGTTTTGACTTACAAACAACTTTCTGAGAAATGATATACCAGTGCAGTGGTGGGCACATCTAACCAAAAAGTTAAGTTCGCTAACCGCTTATTCGATACCTAAAAATTTGCTTTGCTAACGCTAAACAGGTGCAGTAAATGTTAGACCCATGAATCTCTAACCAGGATAATCACTGTGAAAAATCACATCATGTTGCTGCTGATCTGTTTTCATGTTGTTGTGTTCATTCGTACTTATCTGCTCACCCAGACTCATGTTTGTGCTGCTGTTCGGTGTATGGTGTTTATTGTTTTTATGCTTTTAGTGCTTAGTGTATATTTAGCTGATGTTTTTCTTAGTTCATAGTCGTAGTTCATATCTTAGATCTTATTACTGTTTTTCTTTTACATTTTATTGTTGGATGTAC